TATATTTAGTATTTTAGAACTTATCTATTTTCTGTTTTGGTCAATAAAGTTTGGTTGTTAAAAATAAATAAATACAATAAATTAATTTCAAGTTTCATAAATAAAAATGTCTTACGAAACATTTTTATTGTTATGTTGTCTACAGCAGAGATTCTAAAACAATACACATAGCAGAGTTATTCCTGAAGAAATGAGCTGTATATCTATCATCAATTACATTATATCATTATTATTACATTTTATCATTCTTATTACATTATGAATAGCAATTTTTTTTTTTAAAAATATTTCTAAATTGACTTTTGTTTCGGACAAAAATATCACTTTTTTTAAACAAAACTTTTTGTTTTAGATTATTTAAATAGCTTAGACGATCAACAGCAAACTGTAATTTCCGGGGATCCTCAGGATTTTGAAGGAAGTGGTTCTGAACCCGATACAAAGCAAGATATAAAACCGGATTTGCTTCAATTTGGTAACATAATTTTTTTTAAATTTCTTTTATTTAAATATATTACTAATTTTTGTATAATATTTAGACCGTTGTGTAAAATTTAACTAAAGATATTAAACAATAAGTATTCATGAATTATAATATTCTTTAAGTAGATTAGCCGTTTGTTTGTACTTATTTCTTTTTGAATGAAATAGCTGTACAAACTTTATTTACCAGTTTTGAAGAAAAAAAATAGCAATCGTTAAAAAAAATTTTAAAAAATTATGGTTACTGGTAAAGTGCAATTTACTTCCTGACTAGGAAGTTATATAGGAATTTGATACCTAGAGGTCTAATATTTTTTTTTCCTTTGTGTAATTGTAAAATATTTTTCTAAAATGAAAACACATGAGTAAAAATACTTTAAAAAAAACTCATACACATTCCTCACATTATTTCTTCATTTTTAAAAGGTTTAACGAAAACCAAATCTATACGCAGTTTCATCACCGTTTCTCTATTTTTTACAAATTTGGAGAAAGTCAAGTTCATACACACTTATAACAATATTTCACTATTTTTAATAAATTTGAAGAAAACCAAATTTATGCATGCATGGTTACAAGATGCTTACAAGATTTCTCTATTTTTAACAGGTTTGAAGAAAACTAAAGATACTGTCTGCTGTACGTTAGGTTATTTTGCCGGAAGCAAAGATTACCATTGTATCGCTAAGTTTTATGCTGCTCGAATATTATTTAGGAACAAGAACCGGAGGCACAGCAGGAAACTGGGGTTTAATGGATTATACAGTGGCACCAAATTGATGAGAACTTTTGAACAGTGTGTATCAATTAAAAGCCAGCCGAAAATCTTCGATAGATGTTGCCAGAAAGGTGCAATGAATAGACGAACTAAGCCACATTTTGTCACAGTAAGGAAAAAACGATATGAAATGAAAATGAGAAGAATACGGATACCAAAGTTAATGCAGGAAGACGAACACTTGATTGCAGTTTAAAAACACAGTACTATTTAAGATTTGTAAATATTAAAATGACGTACGAAAAAAATTCTTAGTAAAATGTTATAACGGTATTTTATTTATTTATTTTTCTTTGAGCTTTGTTTTTTCGAAATATATGTGGAGAAACACTGATGGGGAGAAAATACTGTAGGACATCGATTATCTGAAGTAACGGACTTACTTCGGATAATCGAAAAATTCAGACAATTCGGGAAATATCTTTTTCATTTCTTAACTTAAAATCTTATCATTAATATACTCTGACAGTAGAGTTCTATTTCTTAAAAAGGAAAAAAGATAATAGTGTTATATACTATTATTTGGTTGTTTATTTATTTATACTTTTTTCTGAACTGTGTTTTTTTCGAAATATCTACGGAGAAACACTGATGGAGAGAAACAGCATACTGTAGGATCTCGATTATCTGAAGCAACGGACTTACTTCGGATAATCGAAAAGTTCAGACAATTCGGGAAATATCTTTTTCACTTCTTAACTTAGACTCTTATCATTAATATACTCTGACAGTAGAGTTCTATTTCCTAAAAAAGAAAAAAGATAATAGTGTTATGTACTCTATTTAAATTTAATATGACCTTAGATAAGATAAAGTTTTGTCAATTATATATAAAGATATTCCATAATAAAACTTACTTTTACTACTGACCAGTGGCGTACGCAAGGGAGGGGTTTAAACACCCCCCTTGAGCTCTGACAAAATGGCAAAAATAAAAAATTTTGTAGAAATTATGCAGGCTATTATTTTTTAAGACTATATATTTTTATTTGCCTCATGCCTTCTTTTTTTTTCTCACTTTATTTCTCAGAATA